TATCAACACAGACTGGCTTCATTCACTTCCTCCACTGCTGTATGCTAAACTAACTAGCAGACACTGCACAGAAAATCTGCGTCATTCAAAACTCCTCCTTCTGTTTGCTGATTGGTCCAGGTAAAATAAACTACAAGCAGACACTGGGCAGAAAATTGACGTTCTGTTCACTGATTGGTTCGGCTAAAATTCTGCCAGCGAAATCCTTGTCTGTGGGAGAAATCCCAGACGGAGCAGTGAAGGGAAACTAGAATTGAGCGGAGCTGCGTCAGAAGGCAAGGGCCAGGCTAGTAGCCATGTGGAGATGCCTAATCGCTTGCTGGTACAAAGCACCAYCCTGGAGCTCAGTCTGCAGTAGGGTTGGGCATAATCTTATCGCGTGCAATTAATCGTCAGAAAAACATTAATCGATTACTTTTTGACACTTGACGATTAATACGATTAATGCCACCAGGCAGACTGACTGGGGATTACTCCRGTCAGTCTGCTTGGTGCTCCTCTCTGCTTCAAATATGACGAACATCAAAAATAAAGTTCTTTAATTTATTTATCTATCAACACAATTTAAAATATGATGTATAGCCTGAAATCTGTCATTTTCACACAATTTGGGACAATTTTTTATAAAGAGCAAATCTTTCCCACTAAATTGGTCATGTGAATACGAAATAAGGGTGTCCAGGGGTTAATCGTCAAATTAATCGTTATCGACTAAATACCACAATTAATCGTGATTAATTTTTTTGCCAATATTGCCGAACCCTAGTCTGCAGCTGAGCTCCCGCCCTACAGAGCACCCCTCCCCCGAAGCATCGTTGTGAAGATGTGCTGAAGTGGGAGTGTAGGAAATAGTAGTAGGTTCTTAAAGAGACAGAGGCCAATTTCAAGGCGTTTRGATAGGCWATGCTTCAAAGTCTAATTTCTTTCTGATAACAACTGAAGGTTACTTGATTGGGGTATAGAAGTGAACTACTGTTTGTGTCTGGAAATTATGTAATACTGCCCCTTTAAAACATGGATGCATTCCAAAAGCATAGATAAAGGTTTGCCATATTCATTTACAGTGCTTCATAWATGCTTACAAACCCATATAGCACAAAGATCATTGTGTACCTTTTATTTATTATTATTTTTTAAGATTGTATTTTGGGTTTTTTTTTCACTGTGATGTTGGTTTAGAGTGCCCAAGAGTCATCAGAGGTCCAGGATGAGCTGAATGAGAAGGTGGACAGACTGAAGGCTGAGCTCGTGGTCTTCAAGAGCCTGATGAGCGACGTAAGTGTTTGTTCAATGTCAGGGTTAAGTCATTGTCACTTCCTTAAGTTTTAAAAYGCTTTCTTCTACAAAACAAAACAAAAAAAGTTGTGTTCCTAACCCAAAGATGTTTGAACTTGTTCCAACATTATCTCAGACTGTTTTCTTAAGAATAATCTGAAGAAAAGTTGCCATTTGCTTCAGTCTACATAGAGGCACACACCCTTCCTTTCCCCCTTGTTAGTATTAAAAGATAAGTAATGCCATAAAGCCTCAAACAAGCAYTGAAAAGAGGATTGAAAAAAGCTCAAATAGCAGCTTCCTTCCTGTTTTGTACGGTCCAGTATTGTTCCATGGCAGGTTTGTTTTTCTGTGAATTATAGTTAATAGAATCCTRCAATAAGCCCACTCACAGCTTGTGCTTGATCAGGGATAAATAAACTCAGACATTATTGTGTGGTATGAGGGTTTTTTTATTCTGTTTATCTTTACTTTAATGTTAAACTTTGGACATTATTCTTTTGTCTTTTCGTTTCATTCATATGTGAATACAGAGACGGGTAAGTAACAAAGAATCAGAAGGTTGCTTAGGAGATAAATGTTACTTAATGCTTTTTAGAAGTTAGTTAGCATGTGTTGTGGCTATGAATGTGTTTGAGTGTAGTGAGTCACCTGTCATTGCACACCAAAGGAAGTCTAGTTTGAGCTTCTACTATAGTTACAACCTATATATAAACAGGATGATGGGGCGAGATAACGACTTATTTCTAGTSGGAGAGCAGGTTATTTAATTTTATTTACTTCTTGTTTTTTTATGTCTTACAGGCTCTAAGACAAAAAAAATAATTTAAAGCAGAGTTTTTGAGAAAAAAACATTGAGATTTCTCTGTACGTCTGTATACCYGCAAAATGGGTGAAAAYCTGTAAATTACGGACAATCCGTAAAAGTTATCATGTATGTCACAGYTAAGAATTCACATAAAAGAGCTATTTTCAGTAGTTGAGATTTAATATATCACTTTTGTAAAGTCAGGAAACTCAAAAAGAGAAAGGCTAAATAATAATTACTATAACAATCATTTGAATAGTTAGCATTAATAAATATAGAATTAATTAATTAAGMATAGAAATTCATTTTTTAAATAATATAAATTCAGGTAAATTATCCCATTCTTCCTAAAAAAATACATACAAATACAATAATATTTTTTTAAATCCAAACTGATCTAAAGAAACATGTAAAGTCCACACATACTTTTGTATGCATATACAACACCTCACAAAAGTGAGTACACTTCTCTCATTTTTGTAAATATTGGCCTACTGTGTCTTTTCATGGAACAACACTGAACATATGACACTTTAATACAATGTAAAGCAGTCAGCTTGAATAACTGTCCCCTCAAAATAACTCAACACACAGCCTTTAATGTGTAAACCTCTGGCAATAAAAGTGAGGGGTGCACATAYACATCTACTGGATATACAGTAAATAGCCTTTAACATACAAAATAAAACTTTATGCATTGCACACAGTACATAGGTCACACAGTGGAAATCATCAATAAATGTCTAACAGATGTGCAGAAAATCAAATAACAGCTCTCYGTGTCTTTGCAGCAAATGTCTGACCTGGACACCAAGATCCAGGAGAAAGCCCGGCGGGTGGACATGGACATCTGCAGGCGTATTGACATCACAGCTAAACTGTGTGATGTAGCACAGCAACGCAACTCAGAAGACATGTCAAAAATGTTCAATGTCAGCCCTGCAAGGTCCATTCCAGATAAGGTGTGTATCTATCCACTTCGGCGCCACKTTGTGTTTTGCAGTATTATTTTTTCAGAAAACCTGACTGTAAATGCTGCAGAAATAAGTAGTCATCTGTGGACTGAGCACTGAGCTCAAATGAAATCAGAGCTACCGGTCGCACATGGTGTGGTAACTGATACTTTAGGCATTAGCTGATCATGCACCTAACTGACCCCCTGTAAAGGTGCAGGCATGCACGCTTGAACATACGTGTACAAACGCAAAAATAGATATGCATATACATGTACAGTAGTCACTTGTACATAAACAGCAACATGAAAAAGTAAACCGCTGATGTGGCATCTTTTCATCTCTCACAAGGTTATTGGTTTGCGTCGTTGTTGTTGTTGGCTGAAGCCCAGGATTATAAATAAACCGAATGCTCCGTGATGCTGTCATGTGTTTCTGTCRTTTATGAAAGTATTGATCTGAAGATACATCTCACATAAAAACCTGATGTCATATTCGACATGTATGCATAAACATGACGCAGGTCATCGGACAAGTTTAAAAATAAATAAAATAAAAAGAATAATTTCTTCACATTATTTATAGAAATGATTCTAGTCTCTAAAAGCTGCAGTCATTTGAGCTTCTTTGTGCGTCTGTGTGTTTTGCAGGGGACCGTAGGATGCTGCAGGAGAAAGGAGCGTAAAGGCGTGTCCGACGAGGAGAATTCGGAGATGGATGCCGAGCCAAGCACTTCGGAGGAGGAGGTTCCCGGGTCGCTCAACATCACGGACGAGATGAAACGCATGCTCAACCAGCTGTAAGTGACACCTCCTTCATCAATACTGCTTTTCTACCAAAGTGAAGTCTCCTGTACTCTCACTCAAACCAAACACGCTGTTACTTCATCTCCCTCTGCTGTTTTGAYGAAGAGTTGCAACTAGCCGAATGCATGCTGTTTCTTTTTCATACAAGGATGTAGGCATTTATTGGCTTTTAAATAGCTACTTAACTAATCATTAAAGCTTCTTCCTCCTTGCATGTGGTCTTTTGCTGATTCTGGTGGCCGTTATACCTTTCCCCCCTCTCTTCTTCTCTCGTCTTTTTCCCTCTCTGTCCCATACAGACATTGTTCAGATAACTCCTTTGTTGCCAGGCGTGAGACGTTTGAAATTGACGACGACTGCGACAGTCTGACGTGGGAGGAAAATGAGGAGACCCTGCTGCTGTGGGAGGATTTCACAAACTACAACGTGCCGTGCACCATCGCCACAAGGACCTGCACAGCTACCTGCCCCAGTGAAGGCAGTGGAGAAGCTGTCGATCCAGTATGAAAAGAAAAAACTTAAGACTGTATTCATTTTTAGACATAAATATATTTAAAAATCCTGGATTAACCCTGCTTAGTCAGAGTGTAAATCATTGCTATGTATGCAGCGTAAGACATAAAGTCATGCATGATGAATGAGGTCTGTCTGTGCTCTCTAAGGATTCCCAGGATGGAAGTCTTGGCAGCCTCATTGATGAAACGGAGTCGATATTTAAGAACCGAGAGCAGAAGTACCAGGAGACCATCGGCCAGATTGAGGTAGATGGATCTGTAAATTATTTTGAAGTAAAAACACAAAACCTGCTTAGTTACAGGTATAATTAAGCAAAAAACACTAAGTCCAGGAACTATTTCAGTTCACTAGTATGTTTAATTACCTTTTAAGGAAATTATCAAATTTTAAACAAGAAACAAAGTCAATCAGATTTTCTTTCCTAGTTTGAACACATGTAGGACTTCTCTAATCCAGGTGCACAAACCATCTAGAAAGAAAAACTTAGTTTATTCAGCTCTCTCCTGCTGTGCTTCCAACAAATCAGTAGGCAGCATTAAACATTAAAAACATTCATGGTTCACAGAGGATAAACTCTGCACACATATTCAACTTTAATTTCTATTTTTATCCATGATCACGGTAAACCTCGTGGCTGCCTGTAGGTCTAATGTCTTGTACTTACCAAGCAACTGAACCGAGATTTGAGAACTGCTAGCTATTCATCCAGCTGACTTCCTTTTCATTCTTTGTTATTTTTTCAGATGGAGCTGGCGACAGCAAAGAGCGACATGAACCGTCACCTCCATGAGTACATGGAGATGTGCAGCATGAAAAGAGGCCTCGACGTGCAGATGGAGACCTGTCGGCGGATGATCAAAGGTGGCAGGAACTCTCCCTCTTTCAGCTCCGTGGCTAGCAGCGACTCAGGGAACACAGACGAGATCCAGGATGAGATCTCGGACAAGGACGCAGAAGCTGAAGTCCCAGTTAGTTGATGGCCGCACAGCTGGGTTTTGACTCCTCGCCTCCCGTTTGCTCATAATAATCAATGAGGTGGGGTTTAAAAGCGTACACAGCTTGACCTGACGGGAGGTGAAACCTAAATCTGAGTCCGTTTGACCAAGTTCTGGTGCAGGTTTAGAACTGGTGCTTTTATACTATTTCTGTTGTTTAGAACGTGGTGGCGGGGGTGTCTTTGCTTTGTAAAAAGATAGGGAAGCAAAAGCAGACACGGAATTGTGCTCTTCCTCCTCGCTGCCTCAATGGATTCTGATGCAGGGCTTTGCATAATTTTCTTGGGGTGGAAAACAAACAAAAAAAGCCTTAATATATATTTAAACAGGCTCAGAAAAGTTTTTCTATCCTATTAAAATCCTTTTTTTCTAAAGGAATTGAATACAGTACATATTGTACTCCTCTATTCACCAAAACGACGACAAAAAATACATACTTCTTTTATTTGTTTCGGAAAAACGTTGGGTCTTGCCCCTCCTCCCCCCACTTGTTTTGTGTTATTTTAGTTCAGGTGTGGTATTTGCAATCCAAATTAAAGTGTTGGGGTTTAAGTGTCTTCTGTCAGGGGGACAAAGAGGAGTAGAAACGAATGGTGTTCCAGTTCTGGCGGTTTCTGAGGGAACTCTGCAGGCTTGCCAAAGTTGACGGAGGAAAGGAGCACAGCCTTTTCATGCATTGGTGCACTACTGAAGTTCTATGCAATTTAGCTGGCCTTATTCTTTTGTACAGGCTGCCACCGTTTGTAGCTTCTCTTACAACCATTAGCCTTTAGTACAGCAGATGTTTTTAGTATGTACGTCTTATTCTCTTACAGTGATCTTTGTTGGGGACGTTACCTGAATCAGTGCCCCAAATATATTATTTTGTGGCGATATGTGTTTGCCAGGTGTTTATTTGCAGCTGGAAGAGTTGATGCAAACCTCACTCATGTCTTATGCTGATAAGTTGTACACATCATTTGAAAAGGCACAGAACCGTCAAAGCTATACTCCCTCCTAACTGTCATGCAAAACCAAAGGTCATATTTTAAAATGCTTCTTATTTTTGGGTCAAAGTGATGTAAAATTTGTTTAATGTATTTTTTTTTTCTAAGCAGTGACTGTCTTGGAAAAGTGGTTTCAGTGTAAGTTTGTTAAATTCTGATTTCACATCATCTCCAGCTGTTCTGAAGGGAACTTTGTTTCAGCCAGATTTCACTTCCTGCTTTGTTTCGTCTGAAAAGGAGCTAGAAATGTCAAGATTGTACATAGACGTTTGAAGGCATGTGATTGTTTTACCCCAGAGGCCTTTTTAGTTTTGTTTTTATATCAGTCTACAGACTGGGAGAATTTATCTGTTCATCACAGAAAATGGTTAAAGCATGAAGACAGCAGTGCTGTTCAAACCATCTCTTCTTTAAGAAAACACAAATGTATGTGCAGTTTGTGACTCAAAGATTAAGTGCTACTTCTATCTTGAAGTTTTTCAGAAGCAGAATGTTGAATTTTTACCCTTTGGCTTTTTTACGCATGCTGATGGAGCAAAAGAAAGGAGCCATGGGGTTATTTTTGTTGTTTGTTTTGTTTTTATAAAGTTTTATTTTGAACTCAAAAACGCTGCAATACAGACTCTGTTGTGTCATTGCATATGTGCAGCAGAAAGTGTGCTTTTCAAAGATTTTACCGACTGTGTTAACTATTAAACTGTGTTGCCATATTAATCGTTTTTAATTCCACAGATAGATTACATTCTTTCCAGATCTTTAGTCTTTTCTTGATGCTAACAGAAAGCTAATTGTTAATACAGACAAAAGTGAAGAACCTCATTTCTGATGAAAATGTCCAACTTTTTCATTAAGTTGATTTAAAACCAGCCTAATAAGAGCCATTCTTTTACTGGTACTGTACTTTGCAGCGGCTGTGTCACATAATTTAATGACTATCATTCAGGAACAGCGGGTCCTCTTGTCTTCTGCAGTCTCCTGACTATCACACTAACCAGCCAACCAACACAAACACATACAGTAACGTGACAAAGATCATGATACTCACTCTGGAAAGCTGTGCAGTCTCAGTGTACATGCCCATTAGTAACTCCTGCAAACTACTTTATCTCCACTTTCCCGTCACTTTAAGCAGGTTCCAGGTGTTCTCAGTGAAAAATGTTTCAGCAACTCATTTTGTTGAATGCAGTTTGGTTTCAGGAACCCCTAAGACCCAAAATTAATAACTGTGCTAAATAACATGTAGCTGTTAAAAATGCAGGGATACGTGGCATGTGTTTACTTTTTGGTTGCTTTACTAAACAAGTTCTCAACCTGACCAACGTAAGGTGTGTGATGGACGTTATGTCCATTAGATCCTAGTGGATGTGAATGTTTCTTATTAAAAAGTGTGTGTGTGTGTGTGTGTGTGTGTGGGGGGGGGGGGGGTTAATACGGGCAGGCTTTTTTTAAACTTGGGGGATGATGGCTTTGTGTTTGTTGTCAACATTTAATTTAACACCATTACTCGCATACATATCGGCTTTTAAAAATCACTGTATCGTTTAATTTTATGATTATGACAAGATGTCACAGCAATTTGTTTTGGCGAAAAGCTGCTTAACTCAATGAGAAACGACTTTATTTTTTAATGCGGCTCACGGGTAGCATCTTTTTTTGTTTTGTTTTTAAGTGGCTGTTTTATTGAAGTTTTTGTTGTCCTCTTTCTTAGTTTTGTATTTTCTTATCATTTGTCTTTACTATTTATACAGTGTATTCATGTTGGTGTTGGGCAGTCTTAGTTTTAAAGGTATGAATGTACTCAACTGATTTGGGGGTAAAATGAAATAAAACGGTGAACTGGATAAAAACAACAAAAAAAGTTAACTTGTCTTTTTTATTTAAAATATTTTCTTCCCCCTCACACATCTTAATGTCCACTGATGAAGGTGAAGCCAGAGCAATAATGTTTCTGCAAGTACAGTAAAAAAAAAAATACCACGATTCAAAGTGTTAACTTTGAATTTTACAGATACTGAGCCTCATCTACAGCGGGGGTGGGCAATGCTGGTCCTCGAGTGCTGCTATCCTGCATGTTTTACTTGTTCCTCTGCTCCAAAACACCCGATTTGAATAAACTGATGATCAACAGGCTCCTAAAGAACTGGAACAGTTAATTCAGTCACTTAATCAGGTGTGTTGGAGCAGAGAAACAAGTAAAACATGCAGGATAGTGCCCCTCAAGGACCAGGATTATCCATCCCTGATCCACAGGTTATTGTTTTTATTTTCAAGTAAAACATAATTTTTTTAATGAAAAAGTACAGAAAACAATTAAATGGTTTTTAAACATTTATTATGAAACTTATTGAAATAAAACCAATTTCATGAAATATCTTGATGTTAAAATGCACAAAAGGTTCTGCATACAAAAAAATATAGACCACACAAATCTTTTCTTTGTGATTTTTTAAAATAATCACAGGTTTATCTTGCTCTAAACTTTTATTTTAGTTATTTTTACTTCATATTGTCCACTTTAGTCACTAAGAAAGTTCATCAAGAAAGTTTGAACCACAAAGAATAACAAAGAGTTGTTTTTCTTTTCTATCAAAAATGTCAGAAACCCCAACAATAAGCAGATGAGGAAAACTAACTTCTGTAAAACAAATTTTAAATTCTTCACCGGATGAAGAGATGTTTGTCCAAATTTTCCATCWGTATCACTTTCACCCTTCCACTTCGAGAAACATGATTCTCTTTGCCACGTTCTCCTCACCATATTTCTCCTGCAGCTTCTGACGAACAGCAGGATCAGATGAGAGCAAAAGACTGTCATCRTGGTGAGTCCAAATCCGTACTGAAACAGAGGAAGGATTCACAAGCAGGTCCAGTGCAGCAGAGAAGTCTCCACTGGTCTTTAACAAGGCTTTGGTCACACTGATCAAGTCCTAAAAAATACAACAAAACAAGGTATTAAAAACAAATTACATTAAATGAATCTACTGCTCCAAGTCGGCCTCACTCACCTGGTTTGTCTGGTTCATCAGTTCTCTGATTCTCTGCTTGTCTTCCTCTAACTGTGCTTGAGTGAGAGAAAATGCGGCACCTTTGTCCACCGYGGGCTGTGAGTTGGACGGAGCAGCTAAACAATCGGCGTAAACAGACTGAGAGTCTTCTTCCTGGGACTCACTGTCGAAAATAAACAGGTGGGCCTTTGCGGTCGCACCGGCAGGCTCAGCAGCAGCGGGCACAGCAGGTGCAGCAGCGGGCACAGCAGGTGCAGCAGCGGGCACGTCTGTGTCTGGGATACAGTCAGCACTCGAGGCCTGAGACTCTGGCAGGTTTCCCTGTGGGTCGGGTCCAGTTTTGGGGTTGGACTGTGCAGAAGTCTGGTCTGCTGTTTCAGAATCTTTTTGAAGATCTGGAGCGTCATCTTCGTCAGACTGTGACATGTAAAAAATCAGAGAAGGGCAATCAATAATTTTTTTGTACGTTGTAAATTGAAAACTATTTTGATTGAATTTATTTAAGGAAAAGGGGCAGAAATCATAAGATTCTTTTCTTCTTCTGCTACCTTTCATTTAATTTGATTGTTTTTGTTGTATGTTGAATTTATGTTGTTTTGTTTATATGAATAAACTTTATTTAAGAATAATGCACTTAATAGCCTACAAACCTTTTCCAAAAGAAAAATATATATTCTAAAGAAGACCACCTTTATTTATCAGCATTGCACCCAAGATGGTCAAAAACGTTTTTATGTAATTTATTACAAAATTGTACAGCATTCATTTAAAAAATACTTTTTTATTAGCAGTATAATATGGTTCAAATTCTCTTTATGTCTTTAAAAGGTACAGATTGTGACACAAGTATTAAAATTTTTACCTCAGAGTCATCTTCAAACTCCTTTGTTGCCACTTCAAGAATCCCCAGCTGCCTTTTCTCTCTTTTCTTCGCTGCCTTTTGTGGCACTGAATTAGATTTACCTTGGAAAAAAAAAGATGTGTTATCCAGCCTGATGGAGCTTTTTTTAAGTTTCTGTAGAGGAAAATGTTTCTACATGAGCAACTCTGTGACAAACCTGCTTGTGGTGTTTTAGAGTTGGTATCTTGTTCACGCTGCTCCGGCTGACTCTCTGCTTCTGATGCCACCTTCTTTCCTCTGGCTCTTTTCGGAGGTGGTGAATCTGTTAGGTTGTCTTGACGAACAGACTTAAGTGGTGATTTAGTTTTCTTAGAGATCTGTGGAGRTGGTGTGGAACGCGCAGTGCAGCTCGAGGATGATCGGAGTTTTTTCGCATAAGGCTCAGGGGATCCAAGCTCGAGCTGCCTGCGAGTTATTCGACGCTGTGGTTGTTCAAGTCTGGGGGAGTCAAACAGCGTTTTGATTAGTTTTTTTGAAGAAGATTTTTGGGGAGTGGACTTGGACTGGACTGGAGGAGAGGCTTCAGGCAAATTTTGTTTCTGTGGAGAGACGGTTGTTTCAGGTTCATCTCTCTCTGGTTCTGTGGTCTCAGCAGTTCTGGAGGGGGTACCTGGCTGTAAGTTTTCTCTTTCAGTTTGAGAGGATTCCAAGTTTTCATCTGCTTGTTCATCTGACTCCTGATTCTGTTCCTCTTCCACTCCGCTAAGATCAGCTGTCTGAGCATCTTTATTTTTAGGTGTGCATCCTGCAGGCTCCGACTCAAGTTCAATCTGTGGAGACACCAAACCTGTTCAGTTCAGTTCTGAACTAAATTCACATTCGCATCTTTAAAACATCTCCTGCATTGTTTGTCTGCAGAAGACACGCTTTGAGCTCTGTGTGCTGCTGCTGCTGTACCTGTGTCGAGTTGGAATCTGCTGAATGTGTCTGAGGAACAACTTCTTCTTCACAGAATGATTTTTCAGCATCACTCTCTTGATTTGCTGCCACCTAAATAYAAAAATATGAAAGCTGATTAGCAATGTGGAGACATTTTAGAGCTGAATTTTTACATTCACACAGTGCATGAAGTTGTAAGAAAATAGTGTTTCAGACGTTATTGTGGTTTTACTTTAAAACTGGCGCTATCTAGTGGTCTTTAGCTTGAGTGTACATGTAAATGACCTGAACTAATGCACTTTATCAAGTCCGTACGGAATACAAAGAAACTGTATCTACGCAGCACCGGGAAAGACTAAATTCAACTTTTCTACACTGCTAGAAATAGGTATAAAACAAAAAGCTTTTTAAAATTAATTTATTTTTATTTGTGTTTTGACTGTAATTTTAACTATGTCCTGTTGTGTCTGTCTCTTGTACAGCACTTTGGTTGGCCTTCCTTGTACTGTTTAAAGTACTTTATAAATAAAAAGTGATGGTAAAGTGGTAAAAAAGAGGATTCTTTAGCTTATCATTTAAATGTGAAAAGGAAGGATTTAAAAGTATGATAAGTCGCCTTTAGGTTGTGTAATGAAAAGAAGATCTGTCCAAAACTGGCCCCACCAAATAAATCAGGTAAATCCAATCAATAGAAAATTTATAATGGGGAAAAAAGTTATAACAAAAATATTGCTTTATTTAGAAAAATCTCATGCAAAAATTGTTTTAAAACAAGTASTATGTGTTGTACACAAAACGCTACAGATAGTTCCTTACCTTTGCTGTTTTATTAGCATCTTCTCTTATTTCCACCTCCTCAATCTCTGATTGTTTAGTTGCGAGAAATTTCTTATATCTGGACTTCATCGACTGCCAGCTGTGACTGGTCACACGCTGTTTCTCCATCTCTTGCCAGTATAGGTTACCCCCAATGTTAAGCTTATTTTTGCGGACAAAAGCCAAAATGTCAGCATCCTCTTCAGGGGTATAGGCAAGTCTGCCTGATAATGAATAGAATGTAAATGCATGAGTGGATAAACTTAAATAATCTCCTAATATCAGACAGACATGAAGATAAAAATGTGTGTGGTATAATGTGATTTAAAGACATTTAAGAAACTTTAAAGATAAATGTAGAAACGGTCATAGCTAAGGCTGTAGGTTACCACAAAGCTAAAATGTAAATGCTTTTTATATTGTCATCAATGCATGTTCCCATACAATGATGAGATTTGTGCTCTGCATTTGACCAATCACGTGTGACACCCATGTAGAGCAACAAGCAGCTATGTWAGCACCCAAATACTTATTCAACCTCTATCTCTTTATCAAAATAATAAGAATAAAGTGAATAGTTACAAAAATTAATTTGGAAAAGGAAAAAAAAGAACTGAGTTTTACAGAGATTTAATTATTCAAAAGAACTTGTTTTGATGATATATTTATATACTGTATATATATATTTGGCAACCTCTGAGAAGACAAGGTTGTGAGCCCACCCTGTGCTCTCTGATGCCCACCAGGTTGGTAACCACTGGTGTAGAACAAGCCTATACTTATAAATATGCAATAAAATAAATATTTTCTGTGTTATAACAATAAAACAGTCTCACTGTCCTTTTGAATAATATAAATATTGTTAATTCATATTTGCAAAAGAGATATTAACAGACAACAAGCAAAAAGAAGAATAAAAGTGTGAGTCCTACAGGTGATTCGGGACTGTAACTGTCACAAAGTGCAAACTCAGTTGTTTACATCGTACCTGCAGCACTGCCTTTGCTTTTGTTTAGTCTAGGAGACTCTTTCTGGATCACTTTAGGAATGAACCTGTAATCTTCTAAATTCAGCTGTTCCTCCTGTTCAACGCAGTCAAGAATATACTGAGTGGACACATACCTAGAATGACATTAAAAGTAGCCAATATTAAAAAAAAGAGCCTAAAACAAATGGACATGCACAACTAGGATCTCTCTGCACAAAATAAGAAAAATACCCTGTATATTTACAATATGTTGCTTCTGTTCCTTCTTTCAACTATGCCTTTGTGAGCATCATCTCTCATCACTTCTGACTGACTAAATTGTACTGTATTAATGTTATCCATTACCATTTCACTCCATCACCTACCAGTGTGCAGCAGATTCAGGAACTGAGCTCTTTTCCTCAGGATCAATCAGCAGAATGGCCCCTGGCTGCTGGACGCGGCACATCACCCCTCCTCCAGCAGTGATGAGAGGCTGGAGCTTTTGTTTGACAGGACCCGGTCGCAGGAAGAAATTCATGGGCTCAGAATCCACAGTCATGAAGAGGACYGGGGAGATAGATGGGGTCGGATCTTGCTGTTTAGATGACATTGTCAAAATACCTGGTGGATGAAAGAAAATAAATAAATTAATTATTTTGTTTTGAGAAGCAGCAGCTCTTCAAATTCATTCATACTATATATCCGAGCAACACCTTTATTACTACACTGTCATAATAAAAACTGCACATGAAAAATAATGGATCTTTTCAAAAATGCTTTATTATTTGAATTAAAGTGCAAACATTATCAACATCATGCAGTCACACTAAWATTGCAAATACAAAAATATATACAAATGTAATTTTTACTTGTCAAACTGGCAGAAGACAATATTTAGTTTCTCATTTAAAGGTCAATCTTTTTTTAATAATTGAGTGATTTGGCTAAATTGAATATGAGGACAATGCAAGTCAGACTGTTCATCACATATCATTTAGCAGGACATTTTTCACAACACACAGGTGCACTTTATTAGGTGAATTATGGTGCATTATTACAGSAGTGCAGAGTTCTATCCTTCATCATCATGCATTATTGTTAAAACTACGTGGCATAAGTTATTATGCCAAATTGTTTTAACGATATTAATGCACGACCATGCAATTTAGTTTAACAAGGAACTGAGTTGCTTAAACATTTTCTTTGAACTGTTGGCGCTTGTTTACACAAATCTCAAGTTAACCTCGTCAATACTTTATAAATGTAAAGAGCTACCCTAATAACCGCAGCTATTTTCAGATTGAACAGGGTAAAGCTAATACTTTTACCAGCTTCTGAAGAGCTCAGATCAGAGAGGGTCCTTATTTGGTCTTTCCGCTGCTTACAGTTAAGTCACATCAACTTTTATGTTCAGTGTAACTCATATAATGAAGTTATGACTAAAATTAAACTGTGGGAAATGTTTTAAAAGCTGTTATCTTGAAATAAACAAAACTAAAACTCTTCTTTCCCGCCCGACAATAACAACAACCCTAACTTCCGGGTAGTTCTTCTTCTTCTTCTTCTTCTAATGGAGTTTGTTAGCGGTTGGCAGGAAACTGAAGGTGCGCATTACCGCCACCTACTGATATGGAGTGGGRTTCAAGATGGTTTAATTTCTATTCTGAAAATGTGAACAGGCATTTCATCAGAAACTGTTGATAAATAACAAAATGAAAGATGTCTCCTTTAAACTGTTACAGAATATATTCTACTAATCAGTTCATGAAGAAATATATTAAAACAATTGACCCCAACTGTAAATTTTGCAAAGAGCACACAAAAACAATTAGTCATTTATTCAGGAAATGTTGAATCACAACGACATTTAAGAAGCAATGTAATAATTTTTATCATTTGTAATATCGACACTAATTTTTCATTAAGGTATGAACACATTATCCACCTGTGATGGACTTGCGACCTGTCCAGGGTGTACCCCGCCCCTCGCACTGTAACTGCTGGATATGGGCACCAGTGACCCACGCAACCCTGAAAAGGAAGAAGCGTGTACAGAAAATGGATGGATGGATGGATGAACACATTATTTTTGGTTTTCATGGAAAGAATTCTAATATAAAAAACCCTAGCAATTAATAATCATAATATTTGGAAAATTCCATTTTCACAAATGTACATTTTTGTCATCTTCACATTTTTTTTCCAGGTTTGATTAAAGAAATCGAATTATATTTATGTACTATCTCTAAAAGTACCAACAAGAAAAGCTATAAACACATTCAAATGTTGTAGCTCTTTGAATGTATTTAATTTATGATGTTTTTTTAATGTACTAAATGTAGAAACCTATCCCCTGGCATATGTTGATTTTGGTTTTGTTGTTCCTTGTTCTTGCTTTGTTGTTCTTTGTTATCCTGTTCTGTTTACATATTTGTAATTATTGACCTGTGCAAAGAATTTATCAATTAAAAAAAGTGTTTATAGACCTACTCAGATTCTGTTAAAKATTTTTGTGATCAGATTATGACTTGTATATGTTTGCTCCATAACTTCCTTAGCAGTGTGTCTATTAAGTTAAACGTTTTCTTGATATTTTCAAACTGTCTCTTCATAAATCTTGTTTCTTATTTCTGGCATTCCATCATAACATGTTTTATTGTTCCATTCTGTTCACAGTGGTCACATTTCCCTGTATTGTGTTTTTGCATTGTAAAGAGTGTGTAATTAAGTCCTGTGTCCAAATCTCAGTTGTTATGTTTTCATCTTTTCTGCTCCTTCTAGCTCATTTCTATTACTGTCCATCTTGCTTTGTTATCTCCCTCCCTCCCATATGTCTTTCTTTTATTATGCTTTTTGTTTCAGATTTACCTGTTTGAACTGTGAAATTAATGTCACATTGATTTGCTTTCTTTCTCATTTTTACTCACCCACATGTGCAATAACAGTTATTAACCCCATCCCTTGTATCTTGAATAATGTATGAAGTTATTTCTATCAAAATATCGGGTCTGCTGTCTTAGAGAACATTTTTTAAACTCAATAAGACCAAACTTGAATGACAACATAATTGTCTTTAGTTGTTTTACTTCTTTCCACACACTGTAATAAGATTGCAATAATTTCTCCTGTATACACCGATAGAACATAAGTGATTCTTGTACCTACTTTTAATAGAAATTCTGATTCTATGAATGTGACTCCCATTTTCTCTGTTTTTTGATGCACCTGTTTCTGAATTTACTGGGAATATTTGTTGGCAGTTGGCAAACCCATTTGTTTATTACTGCCACTAACTAACCCCCTAAGATTAAGTAGAAAGGAAAAACAAACAAAACAAAAAATCCTTTCTATATTCGGCTAATTAAACTAATTTCCTTTCAAATTAAACAATTTTTTGGGTATATGTTGGTTGTGTGAAATCCTGATGTTTTGCCTTGTGATTGCAAAATGCTATTGAATATTGCTATGTTCAGCTGTTTCTGGTTAATTTTGTTTGTTTGTTTGTTTGTTTGTTTGTTTGTTTGTTTGTTTGTTTGTTTGTTTGTTTGTTTGTTTGTTTCTGATTTTGGTTTGTTAAAATGTGTGCATTTTCCTGTTTGCCCATTTTGTATGAAATGTGGTTGAGATCTGAGTCCAATTCTGAGTCAAGTGATGACATTTGCTCCTCTTCTTGTCAGTGTGCATTGCCAATGCAATGCACACTATTGTGATTCGTTTCCCATCCAAGTCATCTCAACTTTGCCATGTTTCTCCTCCTGCAGACTTTGTCCTAGAGCTGCCATTGTAATTTTTATCTGTAAAGCTCCTGTGCTAAATGATGGCTATGCCTTTTGGTACCTGTAAAAGTTGTAGTTTTTGAAATATTAATGTTTCAACTTTATTCCAAATTCGTATAATGGGAGTCAATGGGGCCTTGTAATGGTCCAATACTGCCCCCAGCTGTACTCAACGTGGTACTGTACCATAGTGTTTTTATATTTAATCTCAATAGTTCAGTGTTTACAATACTAACATGATTGTATTTTGATGTTTTACTATAATATTGTCTTAATACTGTTCTATTGTTGTAATATTATGCACTTTAGTGTCAATAATTGTATTGGCAATGTGGCCTCTTTCTGGACACATAAAAACCAACCCCAGCCACCACCTTCTGCCACAGCTCCATTGGTCTAATGGTCTATGTCATGGACTTTCATGTGGGAGATCAGGGTTCAAAACCCAGCTAATGCAACTTWAACAAAAAAATGTCTCTTCAAACTTCATATTGTCAYACAATTACCTTACTTACAARCACCTGCTGACAAGACAGGCACAAGCTGGTAGAGAAAACACATTTGAACTTGGTCAAAGTTCATTCTGCAAGTCCAATGCTGCAGGCAAAGCCATGATACATGGCAATGCACCCTTGTTTTTACATCGTAAAAACCCGTCTAGTTGTAGTTGTTCTTTTTTTTCACTAAAWAACAAATCTTTCAAATTAAGCGCTTTAACAGAAATAAACAAGCACATGGCAAAGATGAACACTGTGCCTGATTAATTATTGCTTGTGGGCTGAGAAAGTGATTCAAAAAATAATATTACTTGTAACAACTGCTAAATGAATAATTTCTCCCAAGAAACGTGATACAGAGAGGAGGAAAAACGGGKTCAGAACCACACAAACAGAGTGCAGGTTGATGCACATCAAAAAGAAGACAAATACAGTAACTAATCGATCTTGTCTGATTGGTCTTTTGTTCCCCAGAGGCTTGAGCTGAAAAATGAGACGGATCACTGTTGCTCTGATTTCAGTGCCTTCTATAAACACAGAACAGCTGCTTAAAGCTGAATCTGGAGTGAAAAAAACACAAACAAAAGCTCTTTTTATAGAGTCCCATGTGATGGAGCTTAGTCAGTGTTAGAGTTGCGAGACCACGAGTAATGACAGGTTTCTGAACAGGCTAAAATTGAAACAAGTCTGATGACATGCATGTGCCTTTTTTTTTTTTTTTGCAGCATCGTGGAAACATGAACTCTGCTTTGACCACAAGGTCCCCATTTCCTCATTTTTTCCAGTATTAAAGAGCCATACAACTTCTTAAAACTTTCCCCATTTTTACATACAGTATACTGCTGAATAGACAAATGTAGCTTTACTTTACATTATAATATTTTTGTATTATACAATTGTATGTTTTATCAGTTTTAAACGTATCAATCTGGACATAGAAAACTATTCCATCATATACAAAATATTACAACTAAAGGATTTTAACACAAGCTTGCAAAGCAGAAACAAGCTGTAGGAAGTARCTGAAGGTAAAAATAGTTCATGTGACAACATGAAGTTCACTTAAGGCTGAAGTGTGTTGGGCGTTTAGGACAGGCAGAGACTTTGCTGATGGAAAGCATCCTGTGCACTGAGACAAGACTGGCCAGGACGTGTTAAGGGTCAGGATCAGAGAACTGAACACAAGTGGAGGAAAGAAAACCACAAACAAAAGTGTAAAATGTGCAAATAAGAAAATAWAAAACTGGATAAGCAAGTTGGCCTGTAAAAACTCTGATTTCAGATATGTAATTTTTACATTTTTGAATAATAAAATAAAAAATAAATAAAAAAAATCATCTCAGTTACTCAAACAGCGAAGTGATAAAACGGCTGTGCCACAAACTTAACTTAAAATGTTGAGAAGACATCAAATAATGATTGTGCAAGGTTTTGATTTCACCTGGAAGTTTGCTGCAGTCGTTTCTCAGATGTGTTATTATGCAAATCGGAAATGCGGGCATGCAGTTATTGTAAACAAAGCACCTTTTATCTGCATACTTTTTTCAACAAATCTGAGCGTAAATACATACTGATACATCAAAATTGTTCACCCTTTCTGAGAGACTTGAAAGAGCTGCAGTTCTCTTTACTTTTTAAATTTCTCTAAATATTTGTTTTGTTTACAGGGTGAAGGAACTTTGATTAAAGCAGACGGATATTGATTAAATCTGACGTAAAACTTAAAATCTAATAAATATTCTCCAGTGTTTGAAAATTCTAATAACAATTGTTCATTAAGGGCAATTTCTCTTCATTAGTTGAAACAGTGCGGTTCTGGAAATAAATGATGTTTTTCACTGCATCATCCTCCTGGCCCTCACAGTCCAAACAGCTACATTATTGTTTCTGGCCTCTGTTGTTCCTCTCCCTCCTCAGTTAAACCAGCTGAAACAATAAAAACAACCACGAAGGAGCTACAACTCCTTCACTTCGAAATATGTTTTAATACAATTTGTCATAATTAGATGGATGAAGAGATTCTTTAAGCCGCCCTGAAACAATGGGCTAATTCCTGATTTTTTTTTTTTCCTGATGTGCTGAAACCAGGGAATGTTTCTGTCAGAAACAGCAGCGGTGGGGATGATGTTAGGTCAGCCCACCTCAGCTGACGGCTGGGGTTGCTTTAACTCAGGAAAATCYCCACAGATGGGAGGCCTGAAGGCTCAGGCAGCAGAGGGAGATGTTGCATCGTTTTACTKAGCAACAAAATCCCAGGTCAGCAAAAGTTTTCTT